CCCCCCCAATCCAAGCGATTCTGCAAAATTATCTTCCTGTGCAGTGTAGTATTATTTGCTGATGTGCAAAACTCCTAGCAACAATGCAAATTATTGTGAGTAATCCATACTCCATACTTATGGCAAAACTTTAAAATAAAACAAAATATTGGACTAATCAACCTCAGTACTTATCCATTTTCTAAAAGTTGAAACTGACCTCTGAACTCATATCAGAATTCACCACCAGTATATGGTATACATGTATGTGCTGACCCCTGACCTCATCAGTATTCACCACCAGTATATATGTATGTGCTGACCTCTGACCTCATCAGTACTCAACACCAGTATATGGTATATATGTATGTGCTAACCTCTGACCTGATCACAAGTCACCACCAGTATATGGTATACATGTATGTGCTGACCTCTGACCTGATCACAAGTCACCACCAGTATATGGTATATATGTGAGTGCTGACCTCGGACCTCATCAGTATTCACCACCAGTATATTGTATATATGTATGTGCTGACCTCTAGGGCTGTAACGATACACCTATGCCACGATACGATACGTATCACGATATCTACCCACGATACGATACATTTTGATACGATACAGGATGACGAAATGTTATGCTTCCTCTTCAAATGCGTCGCCATGTTTGATGTGTTCCCTGACTTGTAACTTAAATCTACGAAACATATGCGGCAAGTGGAGAGTGATTTTCCAATCGGAGACATTTAGCAGGAATCCAAAATGCTGCCAAATAGGCGAGCAAAAGGAAGCGGGAGTTTTTTGTAACCTTTATGCTGCTACATTGATTTCTATGTAAAGGGACACCACTGCTGAATTAATTATTGAAATATAAATTAATTTACTTGATTTTTCAAATGTGCATAACTTTAAAAATATATGTTATATGTGAATAAAAGTTATATGAAAATTGTTCGTTATTGTCTCTAGTTTACATTAATGTTTTCAATTCTAAAGTTGCTTCAGTATTTACCTGTACAGGTGGTAATAAAGGTAAGAAAGGGTGAAACTTTTAATTAATCAGATTTAAGCAACAGGAAGATCATTTTAAAATCATTTTTGTCAGCAAATATGATTGGCAAATGATATCAGAGATTATAAACTTCATTTATGACATAAGACGCTGTACATTTACACGGAGATAATCGGGTAAAAAGATCAGGTATTTCATCAGGAATTGCATGAGATTTGCTACAGGTTTCAAGTCGTCATTCGATATATTTACTGTCACAGTCGGCATATAGTATAGATATGTATTAGCTACGATCTAGTTTATGATTAAATCATCGATATATAGAAATCAATCAGCTCAAAACGTATCAATGTTAATGTTCAATTCGGCCTCACCTGCAGACGACATGTGCGCCTTGGTCCGCCGATATTTACCGGTTTGCGTAGGGCACAAAGCCGTTCATTGGAAAGTTACATATTATGTTACACCGAAGTATTTCCACATCAACCTTGTCAAACCCTTCAAAACCTTTATTATCATCGTAGGCGACGCTGGAGAATAAATGTTTATGTTACACATGTATGGTTAAATTCCGGAAGTCAGGTAATACTAAAAACCGAACCAAAACACGGAAAAAAATACCGTAAACCGAACCGAAGCAATTTAGCGTGGTTTTCGGTGCACCGCGGTGTATCGTTACAGCCCTACTGACCTCTGACCTCATCAGTAGTCACCACCAGTATATGGTATATATATGTATGTGCTGACCTCTGACATGATCACAAGTCACCACCAGTATATGGTATATATGTATGTGCGGTTTTCGGTGCACCGCGGTGGATCGTTACAGCCCTACTGACCTCTGACCTCATCAGTAGTCACCACCAGTATATGGTATATATGTATGTGGTGACCTCTGACCTGATCACAAGTCACAACCAGTATATGGTATATATGTATGTGGTGACCTCTGACCTGATCACAAGTCACAACCAGTATATGGTATATATGTATGTGGTGACCTCTGACCTGATCACAAGTCACAACCAGTATATGGTATATATGTATGTGGTGACCTCTGACCTGATCACAAGTCACAACCAGTATATGGTATATATGTATGTGTTGGCCTCTGACCTGATCACAAGTCACCACCAGTATATGGTATATATATATGTACGGTGTAAATCCACTTTGACGTACCTGTTTGAAGAGATCCTGGAGTGCTGCCTTGTCCAGCAGGTCCACTTTGCACGCTGGAACCTTCTGGCCAGTGATCATCTCCACTCTCTTCATACTCTCTACATCCAATAAGCAATAATTCTCAGGTTAGCATTAACAATATAGGACAGAATTTATAAATCTTTATAAACTCTCATGGTACTGTAATTATATAAAGTTGCATTCACAATAAAGATGAATTCAAAATGGTTAGAATGAAGACTTGACCTTAGTCAAAGAAGACTTGTCTTAAGGAATCTTGGTAATGAGATAAAAGCTAGAACCTTCAATTTGTTTCCATTTCAAATGAGAGAGCCATGCTTAATTGAAACTTCCAGACTGATTCTAAATCCCATATGAAATGGAATGTCAACTGAAAATCCTCTATCAATACATTCTTGATATCAAAACATAGAAATACACATTCTTTAACAAAACATGTATTATTCATGAAGAACTCCACAGTAAGATTTTCCTTTGTTTCAATCAGTCATAATGTGATGATCATATACATTATCACATACATATACACAAGATACATGTGCAAACCACCTACCCATACTAGCGTTGACAAGATTGTCTAAGGCAACCACCGAGTAGCCAGCTTTGACCAGCTCTACCACAGAGTGGGATCCTACAAACCCTGCCCCTCCTGTTACAAGTACACAGCCAGCTGACATCTTGCAAATCCTAAAACCAAAAGTAAAATTATTATAATTATATATTTTTAGAGCAAACCATTTAGTTTTAGTTTTAGTTTAGTTGTGTATGACTACAGTCTCATTTAAAATCTCCTATGATTTCCTTAGTCACTTTTTGTCAGTGAACTCATTAGTTAGGGGAGATAATCTGAATTGATCTTTCTGACCTTCGGATATTCAGTGATTTTATTGTATATCCGGATTCCCAGAGTAAAATCAAAGATATTATCAATATGGCTGTATTTATATCTTCCCTTGGTTGTGTTCCTGCTGCCAAAACATCAATGAAATGGCTCTTAGACAAAATGTGAGACTTTTTCGAATAATTAAAAAATGGCTATTTCCCTTGTTAAGATGAGTACCTGCAGCTAGTTGAAAACCATATCTCTCATATATTGCTATTTTTGTCAGACTATCAGTTTTAGTTATGTTCCAGTTAGTCTGTTTTTATAATTATGTTTTTTAGATCAACTAGTTTAGGCTGTTCTCTACAAATGCCATGATTTGTTGGGACATCACGGTGAAGCGTAAATTTTTGTTTGTCTTCTTTTCAAATACTACATAAACATATCAAGTGAGTCTCCTTATGGAAAATAACGATCAGATTTGGCTGATATATATTCATGAAAATGGATATTTTTAAGATATTAAATCATCGGAATTTCTACCTGTCTGACCAACGTTTTGTTCAGGGATTTCCCTCTACTAACGCATGCGCATAGCATACCATTTCTTTGTAAACTAAACGACTGGCCGTGTGAAGTAAGCGAAAGAAAACTGTTGTACCACATCAGCTACGAAGCGAAAAGTTGCCAAATGGTCAAAAGATAGTGCAAGGAGTATGTTACGGAATCATTATTGCAGGTGGGAAGTATTCAAAGGAGAAAATAACTGCCCTAGCAGTTAGTACGGTGCATGTATTCTTCCGGTTAGCCAGTTTAAAGCTGAAATGGAATCGACAGAAATGCTGTTTATGTAAGGAATAAATATCTAAAACTCTTAACCTCGCTAGTATCTTTGTCCGAGTTTGAACACTTAACCTCGCTAGTATCTTTGTCCGAGTTTGAACACTTAACCTCGCTAGTTTCTTTGTCCCGAGTTTGAACACTTAACCTCGCTAGTATCTTTGTCCGAGTTTGAACACTTAACCTCGCTAGTATGTTTGTCCGAGTTTAAACACTTAACCTCGCTTGTATCTTTGTCCGAGTTTGAACACTTAACCTCGCTAGTATCTTTGTCCGAGTTTGAACACTTAACCTCGCTAGTATCTTTGCCCGAGTTTGAACACTTAACCTCGCTAGTATCTTTGCCCGAGTTTGAACACAGATGAACTTATTTTGTTATGTTAAAGGGCATGTTTCGGAGAGAGTTTACTTTGTGTTTCTATATACAGTAGTTTATGCGAAAGGAAGGGATAAGTGACTGGTTAGTTTGATTTTGCTATAAGGCCCTCCAAAAGATAACCGTTGTGATGGCCACAGCATATTCTGTTTACAGAAAGGTTTGTCCTATGGTTGAGAGAAGCTAGCGTTTAGCCCTGTACCATCTTTACCAGTCACATTCCGGTAATAAATTTAAATTCTGCATATTGGCAAGAGTGCAATTAACTTTTGATGATGAATAATTACTAATTCAATAAGTTTCAACACAGACTTTGTAATCATAGTACTTGGTTTCATAGTGTGGTAAGAAGTTGCAGTTGCATCACGGCCCCTATCTAGGATGGGGGCCCCTTTGGAAATGTTTCATCTCGGTCAGACCACCTGTGTTTCCTGCGTCGTTTCAAAACCGTTAGGTGACATTATTGGAGCTATTTTTAAAAGGGCTTTCCCGAACAATTCAAATGGTCAAACTGGACATTTTGAACGGACTATGAATATGGGGATAGCGAGGCAGCATAAGTAGAAGTGCATACAACACATACATTCATTAAAATAAATATGGCTCTTCACGTGATGCCCCTTTAACAATGAAGACCACATTGAATTTGGAAGTTAATTTGTTTCTGCAGTTTCAGTTTCAAAACAATATTGTGGAGACTGCTGATCCTGAGTTGGTGATGTATCATATGTATGTTAAACCTATTGCTGGTAAATCGGTTACATATTATTATCCAGTCAATTTCTAGCCAGACCAATTTGTTTTCCGATTACAATATATTATAGAATAAGCTAAAGCACATACAGATTCAGTGATTGAAATACAATGTACCTCCTAATTTAAATTTATGTTTAGTAAGTTACACACACAGACACCTTTTTACATCATCTCACATTTTAATCTCGAGCACAGTTTACTCTGCTGCCCAGAATCATAAGTTGACAAAGTATATCATTCATTCTATATGTAGAAATACATTGCAAATAATACAAATAGAGTGTTGAGCAGTTCACTGTATGTTCTGAACTAGTTTTCAATTGATGGGAGCTAAAGTAAATATTAAAACGGCCAATGCCAATATTGAATACATTTATCGGTTGTTATCAGAGACATTTACCCTTATATATTGTGATGGCAGAAAAAAGGATAGAACCTAGAACATATAATTTTAAAGATCCAAATTCCTAAATACCAAAAAAAATCGCTAAGGATCTTTTTTTCCCCAAAGTTTAGCATAAAAAAATATATCCTGAATTCCCTCTAAATAGGCTGGTATAATTGAACTTGAAGTTAAGTTTTTATGATTAGCATTTTTTTCGTAAGGGAAGATAACTTATTTTTAGTTAGTGTATTTATAGCCACTGAAATCCGAGTGATGGTAAATATTAAATATGAAAATCTACCATCCTCAATCAGAAAGTTATTCCTGATATTGTTGGGGGGGGGGGGGGGGGGGGGATATTTGCAATATTTACACCAATAGGATGACTATGCATTTTCTTGGAGGTTTAATTTTACTATTCCCAATTGTCCAAAATTGAGTTTTAAAGATAAAATTATTCTCATTGGTTTATTTATTATCAGCATATAAGTTTATAATTTAGACAAACTTATTTAAATTCCAGTTTTTCCTAATGGCTAGACATATTTATATAAATTAGTTGAAAGAATGCAGACGCCTTTTTTTGCTCCCACGTTTAAATTTATTTTCCATTTCAGTGATAAATTTGTTACTGAAAACAGGGTTACTGTAACATCAATGCAAGATTATTACCTATACGCACCGTTATACCCAACCTGTGGAAGGCCAACTTCAGTACTACAGTTGTACTGCTAAAAAAAAGTTAAATCAACATTTTCAACATTCCAACACGTGTCACAACAGTGACGGGACGATTTAAATACAAATTTGACGTAAAGATCAACATCAATCAGGTCATAAAACAGTTTATCTCACCTTTATATAAACACGGTGATTAAGTTCTCTTTTTGGCAAAAAGGAAGTAGTGTTCTTGTCAAAACTTGTCTTATCTTTTTTTATCTAAAACACAGAGAAGCAATAAAAATCCACGTTGACCGGCCCAGAGTACCGAATACGAAACTACATATGACAGATGCGCGCGAAAGTCGCTCAGTAGAAATTTGTACATTTGATATACAATAGATCCCTTTATTATTACCCATCAATTTTTTGGTATTTTCATACTTTGACTATCTTTTTGTAATCATTTTACAAAAACAAAATAATACGAAACAGTGGCTTATAGTTTTACAGTACACAAACCATTCTGATTCTTTAAAATGTTTTTATTTAATAGGAAAAGTTAGTTAATAAAAAGCGTCGATTGTACGTCAAATAAGTGTCGTCACAGATCAAAACACTGTCCAATTTATTTTACTTAATTTCTTGAGTAAATAAGATGGGATGCGATGGAGGAACCATTCCAAGGCGAGATGAAATGGTCAGGGTTAAGAAGAAGGCAGAACAGGTATTCACATTTTCTCTTCCAAGCAACGAATCACGATTTTGTTCAAGGAAAAGATGTTTGACAAGAATTGGCCTCATTGAATCTGTGAATCGTTGGGTTACAACAGAGACATGATATATATAGCCAAAAGTAGTATATACGTCTCTGGTTACAGATACTGTTATATTGCTGAAATTAGTTCAAACTCCAAAGAAAAGGGCTTGAATATAGGGAATAATGTGCATAAGTTACGAGGTAAAATTGTGTGAAAAAGAAAGATAATTAAGTTTTTTGTTTTTTGTTTGTAAAATTGTAGAACGTCCATTGCTTATAATGGGGTGTAGAAGGCTATGCATTTAGCATTGTACATGTAGGCAATGGAGAACAGTCAGTGTCACTGTTTGTCATTTAAACAAAATGTTTGATATCAGACTTGACTTTTTTTTCCCACCATCATCTGATGGTGGGCTATTCAAATCACCCTGCGTCTGTGGTCCGTCGTCCGTCCTTAAACAATTCTTGTTATCGGTATTTCTCAAAAAGTACCAAAGGGATCTTTCTCAAATTTTATATGTAGGTTCCCCTTGGTCCTTAGCTGTGCAGGGCAACTTTTGAGACTGATCGGATAAACAACATGGCCGACAGGCAGCCATCTTGGATTTTGATATTGAAAGTTTGTTATCGCTATTTCTCGGGAAGTACCAGAGGGATCTTTCTCAAATTTTATATGTAGGTTCCCCTTGATCTCTCGTTGTGCATGTTATATTTTGAGACTGATCATAAAAACGAAATGGATTAAAAGAAGAACTAAACTGATCTTTCTCATATTGCAATGATCGATTCTATTTCTTTCACATTAAGTACATGTACTAGTAAATATGTGAAATGACAAACTCACTTTTAAGGTTGGCTTTCATACACATCAGTATTAAGTTTAGATCAAAAGTTACCTCAAGGTGCATTTACTGTTAATATGACTCGATCAAACAGATTAGAGGAGAGAAGAGAAAAGATCGAACTGACAAAGAACTAATGAAGATGGTACAAAATTGGGCACCAAGATCCCTTTGGGATCTCTTGTTTTTTAACTTTTACTCTATAACTAAAAGAACTGATTACAAGTAAAAATACTGATGAAATTTTGCAAATCTTCTTAATGTATGTCCTATGTAAAATTGGTCATAATATAACTGTACCAGTCTGCGACGTTAGGCACTAGTCCGATGCCCACGACTAGTAAATTTAAGTCCGGACTAGTATTAAAAATTTTAACTAGTCCGACTGGACTAGTGGCAATTTTCTTCCAAAATAATGGAAATATTATTAATGGTATACATTTTGCACTATAAAGCTTGTCACAAGTTCTATACATTTTGCACTATAAAGCTTGTCACAAGTTCTAATCCTATCGTAAAATATGGGATTCGTCGAAGCTTCGAAGTTGCGATGAGCGATCGTGAGACTGGGTTCCGGATTTTAGTAGTTACCGAACATTACTTCCGGTTTATAACCACGTGAAACCATCCATGGCGATGTTGCTAAGTTGGAGGAAAGGTTCAAAACCAGCTAAGCCTGTCCATGAACAGACAGAAAAAATTGCTCCAACACGAAAGAAGAAATTTACGGTTCTGGCTAGTGCTTAAAGGCTCGATGGAAACAACAGTAATACTGTATTAGAGATAATTGGCGATCACGTTCCGTGCTCCGTTTCTTTAGTTAATTATTGAGAGACATTTTGTTTTGATTTCTAATAATTTTCCAATTTAGATCACAATTTACACTTCATGCTGTAAAAAAGACCAGTCTGTAATTTGGACTAGCAAATTCACAGTTGGACTATTAAAATTATGGGTTCACTAGTCCAAATGACTAGTAAGGAAAATAGTTAACGTCACAGACTGCTGTACAGTGATGGAGATGAATTTGTGGAGGTACCAACTTAGATATATACATAAGAACCTGTGTATGCTAATTAACCAGACTATAAAGTTTTGAATGTCACCGGATGAGTGAGTTGGGGCTACTTAAACTTGACCCAATTTCATCCACAGTGAAAACTATCTCCATGTAGTACATGTATATATATGGCATATTTGCCAACTTTTTGAAATTTCCATGGGGGAGTTTATGCATGTGCAAAATAAAGACAAATAGAGACAAAATAACCCTTTAAAATGACATATTTTAAGTTCTTCTTTCAAATGAAATCATTAGATCTTAGGGGTAAAAAAATCGAGAGTCTCAAGCTCCCTCCTAAATAGGGAGGGTTGGCAAGAATGTACATGGCTTGGTCATTTGTCCTTTATAGCTTCAAATAGTATCAGTTGATACAAAAAAGTACCAGTCATACATATTCTGATGTTTGTGGAAGGAAAACATATTGCACATTCAGGAATAGATGAATTGACTTCCACAACATGATTTGATGTGATTGCCTCAACGTTGACACACATCAGGTCAGTGTATGCCGTTTATATTGTTTTGTCAACTCAAGACTCAGTTTTCGCTAAATTCAGCTACCTCTAGTTTTCTACAGCAATACCAAATTGTACATAACTGATTAAATCTCCAAATTTGTTTTTTTAGATTTCTTTTGCTTGAAAGTATGTTTTGATTTTGTTAATTCTTACTCCAATGTCTGTACAGTCCGTGCAGTACTCATTTTGATTTTTTTCAGACAGACATTTTCATCTCATAATATTGTCATTTGATCATACAGCTTTTTATAAAAAAAAATTTTTTTATGTTTACCACAATTTATTTCATATAATTTTGATTTGGATATAGAGACAGCAATGCTTGCATCCACTTATATCCTATCATATCCTATTATCCTTTGGAATTTGTGTTTAAACAATACCGTTAGTATTTATTATTGTAATTAATTTGTAGTAGATCATCATTTCACCTGTGTCAAGTTTGTAATCAGGTATGCTCCCTGAATTATTCCAGCTACAGACGGTCAACCTATATATTATAATTAATTTGTAGTAATTTATCATTATGCCTGTGTCGAGTTTGTAATCAGGTATGCTCCCTGACTTACCGAGGTAGTCTAGTATAGTGGATGGTTAAAGGAGAAGATATATATTGGGATGGACAAACCAGTGGGCTGGAGCTGGACAAACCAGTGGTCTGAAGCTGGACAAACCAGTGGTCTGGAGCTGACTTACCGAGGTAGTCTAGTATAGCAGATGGTTAAAGGAGAAGATATTTGGATGGACAATCCAGTGGTCTAGCTGGAGCTGGACCACTTCATGACCATGCACAGTTTTCTAGTGAAAAACAACTTCATATGATGTCATTTAAATAAATGGATATCTCCTGATGATTAGGTCTTCATTTGTCCAGTAGAGTAAGGATATGACATTTATACACTTAATAGTATTTAAATTTGTTGGTTCATGTGGCTATGAAAGTAAAAGAACAGACATTCAATTAGTTCTGAAGATAGTAAACATTTCAATCTATATCTGTACTTTTTGCCCTTTTACAGAAAGATAAAGTTGCTGAGCTTGATGCCAAGTGGAAGCGCTGTGCAATCACACAAGAACCATTGCATCCTCCTATCATGGCCTGTGAGATTGGAAAGTAAGTTTTACTGTTGGCTTTGTCTGCACTCTCTTGTCACGATCTTTCCCTTTTTATTACAGAAAATACATTTTATTTACAATGTTTATCTAGCTAAAAATTAACCACAAATGAACATAATTGTAAAATATCCATGGTTCAATATTGGAAGTTATTGGTTCTGTAAAATTTCACCTTTTCTCAGGAAAATGGCTTGATTCTTGTAGCAGTGATATGCTGTAAGCAACTAGGATATAGCTAATTTAACATACAATTGGATCATTAATGTTGAAATCACCTATACATATTCACCTGTGTATATTATTATAATTGAAACGTTGTTTCTTTTCCTGTTAGATTGTACAATAAAGAGAGTGCTCTGGAACTTCTGCTGGACAGAACCAAGTTTGAGTGTGCCTCCAGCTTCTCTCATCTCCGAGGATTCAAGGTTAAATGACTTGCACATTTAATGTTAATAGTAATGTAACTGTAGTGTAGCTGGTGAGAATGTCCCACAATCTAACAAATTATCTTCTTCCAATAATCTGCCTCTGGTGTATTGTCGCAGACCTACTGAGTCATAGTCTTGTATTGATTTAACTGAATACATTCATTTTTATATGCCCATCCAATGATGAGACGTATTATGTTAGCAGGTGGGTGGGTGGGCAGGAGGGAACGGTGACGGGACGATATCTTGAGTAGTTTTCTATGGATTAACCTCAAACTTTGTAGGAAGGTTTATTACCATGATAGCTCGGACAAGTACGATAACCGCAATTATCGGATTGTAATTTACGGAGTTATGGCCCTTAATTAAATTGCCCAAACAGTGTCCGCTCGATAACTCAGGTAGTTTTTCTACAGATTATCTTCAAACTTCATAGGAAGGTTCATTACCATGAAAGTTGGACAAGTTTGATAACCATCATTGTTCAACCATAATTTCTGCAGTTATGGCCCTTTATGTACAACCATGCAGACAACTGCTCATTCAATGTATGACGGGCATATTATGTTCTGCTTTCGCAGTACCCTAGTTTTAAAGTAAAAAACAATGATCTAGAAGCTGGTAGTTTTTGTAGTGATTACCCATGGACCATAAAGCACCTCTTTGACCATGATGTAGAATTAATAGCTTTATGCTTGGATTGTTCACAGTATTTTATGTTAATATTCTGTTATACATAGGATCTGAAGGAGCTGAATTTGACTGAGAACCCGGCCTATGAGAAACCTGAGAATGAGAAGGGAGATGGCTACATCGACACAAACATTGCTCCTTACAGCTGTCCTATCGTGGGTATAGAGATGAACGGCAAACACAGGTCAGTTCATTCTAGAGGAAAAAAGTTCAACTGGGGTTCACCCTGCCACAATTGTAGTTGGCAATTCTAACTCTGAAAATATTCTTCACTATCTTAAACCCGGGGTCTTGAATTTCAAAAATTTAAATATAAGAGTGGTTTATGTTGTAGGATTACCTACAATTCATATTTGTGTCTCACTTCTGTGCTTACCTAGATCCTGTTATAGCATCACTGTGATTACCTAGATCCTGTTATAGCATCACTGTGCTTACCTAGATCCTGTTATAGCATCACTGCTTACCTGAGTCCTGTTATAACATCACAGTGCTTACCTGGATCCTGTTATAGCATCACTGTGCTTACCTGGAGCCTGTTATAGCATCACTGTGCTTACCTAGATCCTGGTATAGCATCTCTGTGCTTACCTAGATCCTGTTATAGCATGACTGCTTACCTGAGTCCTGTTATAACATCACAGTGCTTACCTGGATCCTGTTATAGCATCACTGTGCTTACCTGGAGCCTGTTATAGCATCACTGTGCTTACCTAGATCCTGTTCTAGCATCACTGTGCTTACCTGTATCCTGTTATAGCATCACTGTGCCTACCTAGATCCTGTTATAGCATCACTGTGCTTATCTGGATCCTGTTATAGCATCACTGTGCTAACCTATATCCTGTTATAGAATCACTGTGCTTACCTAGATCCTGTTATAGCAACACTGTGCTTACCTAGATCTTGTTATAGCATCACTGTGCTTACCTAGATCCTGTTATAACATCACTGTGCTTACCTAGATCCTGTTATAGCAACACTGTGCTTACCTAGATCTTGTTATAGCATCACTGTGCTTACCTAGATCCTCTTATAGCATCACTGTGCTTACTTTGATCCTCTTAAACCCGGGGTCTTGAATTTCAAAAATTTAAATGTAAGAGTGGTTTATGTTGTAGGATTACCTACAATTCATATTTGTGTCTCACTTCTGTGCTTACCTAGATCCTGTTATAGCATCTCTGTGCTTATCTGAATCCTGTTATAGTAACACTGTGCTAACCTATATCCTGTTTTAGCATCACTGTGCTTACCTTGATCCTGTTATATCATCACTGTGCTTACCTAGATCCTGTTATAGCATCACCGTGATTACCTAGATCCTGTTATAGCATCACTGTGCTTATCTGGATCCTGTTATAGCATCACTGTGCTAACCTATATCCTGTTATAGAATCACTGTGCTTACCTAGATCCTGTTATAGCATCACTGCTTACCTGAGTCCTGTTATAACATCACTGTGCTTACCTGGATCCTGTTATAGCATCACTGTGCTTACCTAGATCCTGTTATAGCATCACTGTGCTTACCTGGATCCTGTTATAGCATCACTGTGCTTACCTAGATCCTGTTATAGCATCACTGTGCTTACCTAGATCCTGTTATAGCATCACTGTGCTTACCTAGATCCTGTTATAGCATCACTGTGCTTACCTAGATCCTGTTATAGCATCACTGTGCTTACCTAGATCCTGTTATAGCATCACTGTGCTTACCTAGATCCTGTTATAGCATCACTGTGCTTACCTAGATCCTGTTATAGCATCACTGTGCTTACCTAGATCCTGTTATAGCATCACTGTGCTTACCTAGATCCTGTTATAGCATCACTGTGCTTACCTAGATCCTGTTATAGCATCACTGTGCTTACCTAGATCCTGTTATAGCATCACTGTGCTTACCTAGATCCTGTTATAGCATCACTGTGCTTACCTAGATCCTGTTATAGCATCACTGTGCTTACCTAGATCCTGTTATAGCATCACTGTGCTTACCTAGATCCTGTTATAGCATCACTGTGCTTACCTAGATCCTGTTATAGCATCACTGTGCTTACCTAGATCCTGTTATAGCATCACTGTGCTTACCTAGATGCTGTTATAGCAACACTGTGCTTACCTAGATCCTATTATAGCATCACTGTGCTTACCTAGATCCTGTTATAGCATCACTGTGCTTACCTAGATCCTGTTATAGCATCTCTGTGCTTACCTGGATCCTGTTATAGCATCACTGTGATTACCTAGATCCTGATATAGCATCACTGTGCTTACCTAGATCCTGTTATAGCAACACTGTGCTTACCTAGATCCTGTTATAGCATCTCTGTGCTTACCTGGATCCTGTTATAGCATCACTGGGCTTACCTAGATCCTGTTATAGCATCTCTGTGCTTACCTAGATCCTGTTATAGCACCACTGCTTACCTGAGTCCTGTTTTAGCATCACTGTGCCTACCTGGATCCTGTTATAGCATCACTGTGCTTGCCTGGATCCTGTTATAGCATCACTGTGCTTACCTGTATCCTGTTATAGCATCACTGTGCCTACCTAGATCCTGTTATAGCATCACTGTGCTAACCTATATCCTGTTATAGCATCACTGTGCTTACCTGGATCCTGTTATAGCATCTCTGTGCTTACCTAGATCCTGTTATAGCATTACCGTGATTACCTAGATCCTGTTATAGCATCACTGTGCTTATTTAGATCCTGTTATAGCCTCCCTGTGCTTACCTAGATCCTGTTATAGCAACACTGTGCTTACCTAGATCCTGTTATAACATCACTGTGCTTACCTAGATCCTGTTATAGCATCTCTGTGCTTACCTGGATCCTGTTATAGCATCACTGGGCTTACCTAGATCCTGTTATAGCATCTCTGTGCTTAGATGGGTCCTGTTATAGCATCACTGTGCTTACCTAGATCCTGTTATAGCATTACCGTGATTACCTAGATCCTGTTATAGCATCACTGTGCTTACCTGGATCCTGTTATAGCATCACTGTGCTTACCTAGAGCCTGTTATAGCATCTCTGTGCTTACCTAGATCCTGTTATAGCACCACTGCTTACCTGAGTCCTGCTTTAGCATCACTGTGCTTATCTGGATCCTGTTATAGCATCACAGTGCTTACCTAGATCCTGTTATAGCACCACTGCTTACCTGAGTCCTGCTTTAGCATCACTGTGCTTATCTGGATCCTGTTATAGCATCACAGTGCTTACCTAGATCCTGTTATAGCACCACTGCTTACCTGAGTCCTGTTTTAGCATCACTGTGCTTATCTGGATCCTGTTATAGCATCACAGTGCTTACCTAGATCCTGTTATAGCATCACTGTGCTTACCTAGATCCTGTTATAGCATCACTGTGCTTACCTAGATCCTGTTATAGCATCACTGTGCTTACCTAGATCCTGTTATAGCATCACTGTGCTTACCTAGATCCTGTTATAGCATCACTGTGCTTACCTAGATCCTGTTATAGCATCACTGTGCTTACCTAGATCCTGTTATAGCATCACTGTGCTTACCTAGATCCTGTTATAGCATCACTGTGCTTACCTAGATCCTGTTATAGCATCACTGTGCTTACCTAGATCCTGTTATAGCATCACTGTGCTTACCTAGATCCTGTTATAGCATCACTGTGCTTACCTAGATCCTGTTATAGCATCACTGTGCTTACCTAGATCCTGTTATAGCATCACTGTGCTTACCTAGATCCTGTTATAGCATCACTGTGCTTACCTAGATCCTGTTATAGCATCACTGTGCTTACCTAGATCCTGTTATAGCATCACTGTGCTTACCTAGATCCTGTTATAGCATCACTGTGCTTACCTAGATCCTGTTATAGCATCACTGTGCTTACCTAGATCCTGTTATAGCATCACTGTGCTTACCTAGATCCTGTTATAGCATCACTGTGCTTACCTAGATCCTGTTATAGCATCACTGTGCTTACCTAGATCCTGTTATAGCATCACTGTGCTTACCTAGATCCTGTTATAGCATCACTGTGCTTACCTAGATCCTGTTATAGCATCACTGTGCTTACCTAGATCCTGTTATAGCATCACTGTGCTTACCTAGATCCTGTTATAGCATCACTGTGCTTACCTAGATCCTGTTATAGCATCACTGTGCTTACCTAGATCCTGTTATAGCATCACTGTGCTTACCTAGATCCTGTTATAGCATCACTGTGCTTACCTAGATCCTGTTATAGCATCACTGTGCTTACCTAGATCCTGTTATAGCATCACTGTGCTTACCTAGATCCTGTTATAGCATCACTGTGCTTACCTAGATCCTGTTATAGCATCACTGTGCTTACCTAGATCCTGTTATAGCATCACTGTGCTTACCTAGATCCTGTTATAGCATCACTGTGCTTACCTAGATCCTGTTATAGCATCACTGTGCTTACCTAGATCCTGTTATAGCATCACTGTGCTTACCTAGATCCTGTTATAGCATCACTGTGCTTACCTAGATCCTGTTATAGCATCACTGTGCTTACCTAGATCCTGTTATAGCATCACTGTGCTTACCTAGATCCTGTTATAGCATCACTGTGCTTACCTAGATCCTGTTATAGCATCACTGTGCTTACCTAGATCCTGTTATAGCATCACTGTGCTTACCTAGATCCTGTTATAGCATCACTGTGCTTACCTAGATCCTGTTATAGCATCACTGTGCTTACCTAGATCCTGTTATAGCATCACTGTGCTTACCTAGATCCTGTTATAGCATCACTGTGCTTACCTAGATCCTGTTATAGCATCACTGTGCTTACCTAGATCCTGTTATAGCATCACTGTGCTTACCTAGATCCTGTTATAGCATCACTGTGCTTACCTAGATCCTGTTATAGCATCACTGTGCTTACCTAGATCCTGTTATAGCATCACTGTGCTTACCTAGATCCTGTTATAGCATCACTGTGCTTACCTAGATCCTGTTATAGCATCACTGTGCTTACCTAGATCCTGTTATAGCATCACTGTGCTTACCTAGATCCTGTTATAGCATCACTGTGCTTACCTAGATCCTGTTATAGCATCACTGTGCTTACCTAGATCCTGTTATAGCATCACTGTGCTTACCTAGATCCTGTTATAGCATCACTGTGCTTACCTAGATCCTGTTATAGCATCACTGTGCTTACCTAGATCCTGTTATAGCATCACTGTGCTTACCTAGATCCTGTTATAGCATCACTGTGCTTACCTAGATCCTGTTATAGCATCACTGTGCTTACCTAGATCCTGTTATAGCATCACTGTGCTTACCTAGATCCTGTTATAGCATCACTGTGCTTACCTAGATCCTGTTATAGCATCACTGTGCTTACCTAGATCCTGTTATAGCATCACTGTGCTTACCTAGATCCTGTTATAGCATCACTGTGCTTACCTAGATCCTGTTATAGCATCACTGTGCTTACCTAGATCCTGTTATAGCATCACTGTGCTTACCTAGATCCTGTTATAGCATCACTGTGCTTACCTAGATCCTGTTATAGCATCACTGTGCTTACCTAGATCCTGTTATAGCATCACTGTGCTTACCTAGATCCTGTTATAGCATCACTGTGCTTACCTAGATCCTGTTATAGCAACACTGTGCTTACCTAGATCCTGTTATAACATCACTGTGCTTACCTTGATCCTGTTATAGCATCACTGTGCTTACCTAGATCCTGTTGTATCCAGCTTCATCAACAAAATAAAATAATTGTTAGTCTCCTAACATTACTACTGGAGTTGATTATAAGTTTGAATTCTGTCATTTAACTAATGACGCAGGTCATAAATCAACAAGGTCTAGACATTTATATAACTTGATACTTGGCTGGGTTTTGTAGTAGTACAGACATACCATTAGTTGAAGTGGGCAATACTCAGTTTTGACCTCTGTACATTTTCCGCTGATATTACACACATTGTATGTATTTCATTGTAATCTTGACAGTTTTGGTTAATATGATGTTGTTTGTTTTGTTGTAGATTTTCTGTCTTATGGAAGTGTGGATGTGTACTATCAGAGAGAGCCAATAAAGAGGTCAAAGGTCAGAACTGTCACAAGGTATGAATAAAATTTACAGCTACCTTTGATCTAGTGAAATACAATCTTTTAAAGTTGTCAACCGATTTTATGAAAAACTTGACAATTTTCCAAACTAGTTTTGATATGTTATTAAATGTTTTACAATATGTGTGCATGTACAAGTATTCACACTGGATTTGTTTCAGTGTGGAACACCCTTCAGGCCTGAGGACATTGTGATACTGAATGGAACAGAGGAGGAGATTGATGAGTTGTACAAACGTATGGAGGCCAAAAGACTTCAGGCAAAGCTAGACAAGGTCAGAGACTAGAGCAAGCAAACATTACTAGTAGTTACTGTAGTTGACTTTGGTAATGCCTTTGTTCATATAAGATCCCCTCAACACACACGCCTTTTGCTGCAATAAATATTGAAAAAAAATCATGGATGAGAAAAATATGCAAATTTTCACTCAACCATTCGCGGGAAAAAGTAATAAAAGTTACACATATTGAGTATCCTTGGCTTAAGAATATTCCAGACAAAATTATTGAGATCACTTAATCTGTACTGAAGGAGGAATTTTACGATTTTTCTCTGGTTACCACTTATTTTGCCCTGTCCTGCTGCGCTTTATTAAGCCAGACCCTCCATTTATACAAAGTTGAGTCCTTATTTGATACTAAATTTCGTTTTAGGAAGGAGTTGCTTAAAGGTTTTTAAGTATTTGATGCCTGTGACCTTGAAAGTAGGTCAAGATAATTTATTTGAGGAAACTTAATAGCACTGCATCCCAGGTTCTTACTTGCAAAATATCATTACTCCATAGCTATGTCTCTTGGTTATTCAGAAAAAGTTGTTTAAAAGTTGTTCTAACACATAGACCTTGTGGTCTTGAAAGTAGGAGAAGGTCATTTATTTGAGGGAAGTTTTATAGCACTTTGTCCATGATACCTACTGACCAAATAGCATGGCCCTAGGTCCTCAGGATTGTGCCAGGTGAGATATAAATCTTGTTTTCAATAACAACATTTCTTTTTCAAGTCACAAAATGAAATTAAAAGGGCAAGAGCAAGCAATAAACAATATTATATCATATGTTTACTGAACCAATCCTTATTCAACATTATTTAGACGTAACTTTGACTCTTACCACAGATATACTGTTTGTTTTGACAGAAATCAAAGAAAGCACAGAAACACAAAGCCCCGGAGGCAGCTGCTGGATCAGCTTCCCAGGAGACAGGTAAGTTTACTTATCAGTCCTTCAAAGATACTTAGGGTCCAGGAGACAGGTACGTTTATTAATCAGTCATACTTAGGGTCCAGGAGACAGGTACGTTTACTAATCAGTCATACTAAGGGTCCAGGAGACAGGTATGTTTACTAAACAGTCATACTTAGGGTCCAGGAGACAGGTATGTTTACTAATCAGTCATACTTAGGGTCCAGGAGACAGGTATGTTTATTAATCAGTCATACTTAGGGTCCAGGAGACAAGTATGTTTATTAATCTGTCATATTTAGGGTCTAGGAGACAGGTATGTTTACTAATCTGTCATATTTAGGGTCCAGGAGACAGGTATGTTTACTAATCAGTCACACTTAGGGTCCAGGAGACAGGTACGTTTACTAATCAGTCACACTTAGGGTCCAGGAGACAGGTACGTTTACTAATCAGTCATACTTAGGGTCCAGGAGACAGGTACGTTTACTAATCAGTCACACTTAGGGTCCAGGAGACAGGTACGTTTACTAATCAGTCACACTTAGGGTCCAGGAGACAGGTACGTTTACTAATCAGTCATACTTAGGGTCCAGGAGACAGGTATGTTTACTAATCAGTCACACTTAGGGTCCAGGAGACAGGTACGTTTACTAATCAGTCACACTTAGGGTCCAGGAGACAGGTACGTTTACTAATCAGTCATACTTAGGGTCCAGGAGACAGGTATGTTTACTAATCAGTCACACTTAGGGTCCAGGAGACAGGTACGTTTACAAATCAGTCAAACTTAGGGTCCAGGAGACAGGTACGTTTACTAATCAGTCATACTTAGGGTCCAGGAGACAGGTATGTTTATTAATCAGTCATACTTAGGGTCCAGGAGACAGGTATGTTTATTAAACAGTCATACTTAGGGTCCAGGAGACAGGTACGATTAATCAGTCATACTTCGGGTCCAGGAGACAGGTATGTTTACTAATCAGTCATACTTAGGGTCCTGGAGACAGGTACGTTTATTAAACAGTCACACTTAGGGTCCAGGAGACAGGTACGTTTACAAATCAGTCAAACTTAGGGTCCAGGAGACAGGTAGGTTTATTAAACAGTCATACTTAGGGTCCAGGAGACCGATACGGTTACTAATCAGTCATACTTAGGGTCCAGGAGACCGGTATGTTTATTAAACAGTCATACTTAGGGTCCTGGAGACAGGTACGATTAATCAGTCATACTTCGGGTCCAGGAGACAGGAATGTTTACTAATCAGTCATACTTAGGGTCCAGGGGACAGGTATGTTTACTAAACAGTCATACTTAGGGTCCAGGAGACAGGTACGTTTATTAAACAGTCACACTTAGGGTCCAGGAGACAGGTACGTTTACAAATCAGTCAAACTTAGGGTCCAGGAGACAGGTAGGTTTATTAAACAGTCATACTTAGGGTCCAGGAGACCGATACGGTTACTAATCAGTCATACTTAGGGTCCAGGAGACAGGTACGTTTATTAAACAGTCATACTTAGGGTCCAGGAGACAGGTACTATTAATCAGTCATACTTCGGGTCCAGGAGACAGGAATGTTTACTAATCAGTCATACTTAGGGTCCAGGGGACAGGTATGTTTACTAAACAGTCATACTTAGGGTCCAGGAGACAGGTACGATTAATCAGTCATAATTCGGGTCCAGGAGACAGGTATGTTTACTAATCAGTCATACTTAGGGTCCGGGAGACAGGTATGTTTATTAAACAGTCATACTTAGGGTCCAGGAGACCGATACGTTTACTAATCAGTCATACTTAGGGTCCAGGAGACAGGTACATTTACTAATCAGTCATACTTAGGGTCCAGGGTGCCGTTTCACGACGCGTACGTAAAGTTACGTGTACCCGTAAATATTTACGTGCACGTAACTAAGTGCACGTAAGTTACGTAGGGGGTGTTTCACTAAACCGTCCGTAATTTTTCACATTCACGTACGGGTTTACGTGCACGTAAATTATACCGGAAGTGAATAATACAGGTATGTTTATTAATCAGTCATACTTAGGGTCCAGGGTGCCGTTTCACGACGCGTACGTAAAGTTACGTGTCCCCGTAAATATTTACGTGCACGTAACTAAGTGCACGTAAGTTACGCAAGGGGTGTTTCACTAAACCGTCCGTATTTTTCACATTCACGTAAGGGTTTACGTGCACGTAAATTATTCCGGAAGTGAATAATCCAACATGATGAGATGATCCTTAGGTTAAAAGCGGTTACAATCTTAACCATTCAATGATTTCTTTAGACTTAACATACGGCGATTCTCATTGGAATATTTCCATTTATGAGGTGGCCAGAACTTTCAGAAGTTGAACTCTCTAGTGTCATAGTTAAACTAATTAGAGCCCCGTAGACCCCAAGGCAGCACATGAGAGCCCGGTACAGCTGGATAGAAGTATTTGATCCGCCCGGGCCTTTTTCTTTTGATGTCATGTCATACATGTAGCAACTGTGTATTTTTTTTTTACATATTTTTACAATATGAATGCAATGATGAAGAAACATATCATATTCTACAAATCCATACTTGCGAAATCTCCCTATTTTGGAGGGAGATTCCCGATTTTGAACCCTGAAATTCAGCATTTTCAACTATTCCTATTTTCTATTATCTGATGATTTCATCTGGAAGAACAACTGGAAGATGCCACTTATTAGTTATCTAGTTATAGGTAAAAAAAATATGTATAAATACATAACAATATTATGCCAATTTAGAATTAGAAATATAACAAATGTCAAGTACATGTACAGCTAATATCGAACATTTGACAGTACCACGGAATTAAATGTTTAGTCCGTCACAGTACTTGTATTATTGGGACTATCTGATCGCCAGTTCAACTAAATATTAATAAGTACATTGTTTTGTAAAACTCTGATACAACTAAATATTGTTGTATTTTTAGGCATGGAAATATTAATTGTGAGAATTTTTATCATTTCACAAACCCGATGATTTCCAATTCGTATAATTATAGAGGGCACAATAAAACACTGGGCAAATATTACATGTAACTGAAAGTTTACAAACAAAAATAAGCTATTGGATTTGGAGATGCCGCGGACTCTTGGGGTGAACCGGAATCAGTAGTCAAACATAAGCCAATTAATTGTGTAGGTATTGTTATTATAAGGATGCAACACAGTAAAAGTCTATCCTCTTAAAAAAAACAAAGATTGACAGACTTGCGACGTGTTGTAATAGAAGCACCACAACAATATCACAGCGACAAGATAGCGGATAGTTAAACATTAAGTTACCTTCAAACATAACTTCCGTCAACTTAAACTTTCTTGCTGTTGCTTTCCCTTTCAACTACTGAATCATTGCATAATCTACATGTACAAAATATTACTCGGAGATGAGGGGTTGTCTAGATCTCAGTGGTAGGGATTAGGTCAGTTGGGGGACAGTTTCTCAAAGCGGTACTCGTCGAATGACAATTATATCGGGATCAAATCGTTATAAAACAACCATTTTCTAACATACTTTCATATTTTTTCAATTACAAAAATATTTGCAACAGGTGCGCCAAGGTTTGGTAAAGTGAACACTATAATCCAAAGAAAGGACGGACGAAATGACAACAGTTTGTGATTTTTTGGGCAGATTATGATCAATTTCTTACTCTTTATTGATATACGTTAGTGACGCGTCATAAGCCTTTCAAGATACGTCATTTCTCCATTGCATCTATCAACATTTTTTCAATAAATTTCATGAATTTGTTTGACATCCGTTTTTTATACTTAACGTCCTGCCAGAAAATTACACGTTGTTCTTGCTAGTAGTATTTACATGTACATAATTCTCTAAGGTTCTGTTATTGAGATACCAGTTTTCGTCTCCGTATCAAATTTACTGTTGGCGTCTTTCTAATAGGACACAATGGCCAATTAACTCATTATGATTTAAAAACTAAGAAATTGGTGATAACATTAACCTAATTAACGAAAGCTTTGGATAATTCTGCAGATGTACGCAAAATGTCGTTAAAATGGATCAAACAACGAAGCCAGGGGAAATTATTGGAAAGCCCCCCAGTAAAATAACATACAACCCAATGGGATAATGACGTAACGTTGAAGACTTACATGTACGGCACGTCATTGCATACAACATCTTTCATACATTTCTACACATTTTTCTTTAAATCATCTTAAAGTTAATCGGAAATGTTATAAAAACAAAATTTGATATACCGTGAAATAGAATTTCCCACATTTTTATTTCATATTAATTTTATACTTTTTCTTAAAATCAGAGACGTATACGTCTCTGTTAAAATGGATAGCAAATTTGCAGAAATTCATTTTTTCTGATATAATCAGGTTAAACATGAAAAACGACCTGCATAGCATAATTATAAAGCTAAATATTATATTATATCTTCAAAATCAGCTAACGAAATAATATTGCAGTATTTTGAAATAAATATCATCGTTTATGAAATTAAAATTTCGTTCAATTTCATCACAAAACTCATCATTAAAAATCATGAAATATATCTAGAAATGCATGGAATATATAGCCGTCGCTGTTACCATCCAAGTAAAATATTGGGAAAATACTGTACTTTTGGCCCCTACTTGTGTTTGTTGGTTTCGACACACTCATCCCCTACATACGTAATGCCCACTGGAGTTTATTTATTTAACACGACACAATACGGCAGTCATTTGTTTCCCTTTATGACGTCTGAACGTAAACTTACGTGTGGTTTACGGCAGGTATTTGTTGGCGTAAGTTACTTGAGGTTTTGGGCGTAACTTACGGGTAAAAGTTCTGTTTCGATTGACCTTCATTTACTTTTCTCAGAAAGATATACCATTACTTTTCATTAATTTTAGAATCAGCAACTTCAAGTAAAGTGTCCAGGATTGAGCCAAGCTCATCGCAGAATGGTTTGACCAATGGAACATCATCACACACCTCCAAACTGACCAACGGGAAAGTTGATTACAAATCAAGACATATGAATGGGAAAACAGAAGATTCAAAGAAGCCAAAACCTAATGGCAGCATTCAAGATAACCCCAACGCAAGCACAGTGTTTAAATCTCTGTTTACCACGAGTCACAAAGCAAAGAACCAACAGAATGCACACTGGGTCACCTTCAACCCTCAGTATAATTAGACAGGATGGGACAGAGTGACATCATGTTAACGAGATATTCACTAATCAACCACACTAAATCGAGCAATCGAGTTTTAACAGAACAATTTGTTGATAAAAGTTCATTTTAAGATATTTTTGGCCCTTAATTAATGTTACTTTAAGTCTGATCTCTAGGGGCAGAAATTCTGTTCCTCTCAGCATGGTGCGGATGTGAAATTTGTGGCATAATGCATCTATTTGGCAAAGGATGAATGTCTTTAATATCATTTACAAATTAACACTTTGTTGTTATTGATTGGGGCATAATCTAAAAACAGAAAAGAAGGAAAAGAAGGAATATTGTTTTTACTGTTTATAGGTCCAGAGTATTACAGATGTTCAGGGACAGTCCAGAACACTGTCTTTTATTTATGAATCACTTCACTTTTGAAAACGAAAATAAACAAATTTTACCTTTTAACATGTTGTTTTCCTTCGTCTTTTCATGGAATTTTATTTCTCTATGAAGTGAATTAAATTCAACTTTAGTAATAATGATTGCCTAAAGTATGATGAATTGTAGTTGTGACCAAATTGTATCCAGTAATGATGATACACTAGTCAATAGACATTACATGAGGCTTGACGGTGACTGGTAAAACTTTCCATGGCTGTAACATCAATGTTCTTTTATTGCATGCAGAATCTTTTGCTTCTTGCTCATTTCCAAGTAAAAATATCAAAATTGCTATAATACCTCATATTTGGCTACTGGACATAACTGGGTATTGCTTTCTCCATAGAACCCGACAGCAAATTCCAGGATATCCCCCCCC